GTAACTTACTGACATACGGCCGACGTACAAACAACACATAAATCACACTCGTAACTTACTGACATACGGTCGACGTACAAACAACACATAAATCACACTCGTAACTTACTGACATACGGCCGACGTACAAACAACACATAAATCATATTAGTAACTTACTGACATACGGCCAAACGTACAAACAACACATAAACCTGACTAGTAACTTACTAACATACGGCCGACGTACAAACAACCAATATACCCGACTAGTAACTTACTGACATACGACCGACGTACAAACAACACATAAATCACACTCGTTACTTACTGACATACGGCCGACGTACAAACAACACATAAATCACACTCGTTACTTACTGACATACGGCCGACGTACAAACAACACATAAATCATATTAGTAACTTACTGACATACGGCCAAACGTACAAACAACACATAAACCTGACTAGTAACATTACTGACATAGTCTAACATATAAGCAACACATGAACCCGTATTGTAACATTTGTCACAATAAATAAATAAAACATACACCCCACTAGTGACGTACGTGCCATACGTTCGAACATCCGTCTCAATAATGCATTGGATGATTCGTGTTTTTTTATAAACTACCGACCGTGTTTACCATTTAAATACTTTGTTACCGGGCGTGAATTAAGTAGTGTAATGGTGTGCCCCGGTTTTACGAATTAATTACATTATAACGTATTCATAGAACTTAAGGATAGGTCTGTTATTCATTTTAAAAAGTATGATGTATTGATAACTCTGGCTTTCCTCCGCCACAAAACCTTGCACGTCCTTAAATGACCATAGCTGTTACATGTAATCGGATGTAAAACACAAACAAACCAAACATATTGATATTTAAAAATCAATCGGGCTCGGCGTTGCTATACGTTAGTTTAAATTTGTTATCTTCTGAGACAATCAGATGAAATCTACATACCAGGAAACGTGATATTGACATCAAGATCTTAGCACATCACTGTATATATATATGTGGAAATCTCATTACGGAGTGCAATTGAAGTAAAGAAACATGTATTTGAAATATCAGTAAATTGAAAGCAGAAACCCAAACAAAGTAAACGTGTACTGATCTTAATGGACATTTCGTTAATTTTTCGTTATTTTTTTAAATGGTCTTAATGGACATTTCGTTAATTTTTACTGGTCTTAATGGACATTTCGTTAATTTTTATTGGTATTGATTGAAATATTTACTGGTTTTCATGGACATTTCGTTAATTTTTACTGGTCTTAATGGACATTTCGTTATTTTTTACTGGTTTTCGTGGACATTTCGTTAATTTTTACTGGTCTTCATGGACATTTCGTTAATTTTTACTGGTCTTTATGAATATTTCGTTAATTTTAGACTCATCAGTGTTAAAAAAAAATCAACTCATATTTAAAACTGTTTCAAAACATGTGTGGAAATACCGTAAAATAAAGTGAAAACAATCAAGTTACCAATATTTACAGATATAATATTTCCACGCTTATATTACATGTAAACCGTC